CCAAATTTTCTTTAATGTCCAAATTTCTACAACAACCTCTTATAGGCAGTCTAGGCTTTTTCCATTATGTGCTTCAACATTCTTACAGCCTCTGCCCATTACCCGATTTCAATCTCATATTTTAGGTGTTTGTTACTCTAGCATTCCACTCCCCGGTACCAAAAATCTGTAGCAATATTTTGGGGCTCCATCATAAAGTACCCCCAGTCAGGTGGCTTACAACAACAGAAATTCATTCTCTCACACTTCTGCAGCCGGTAAGTCTGAAATCACGATGTTAGTGGGGCCAAGCTCCCCCTGAAAACAGCAACCCCCCCTTGCCTCTTCTCGTTTGTTGTGGCTCTGGCAACCTCTGGCATTCCTTGGCTTGTGGCCGTGACACTCAGAGCCCTGCCTATGTTGTCACGCTGTCTTCTCCGTGTGTGTGTGTGTGTGTGTGTGTGTGTGTGTGTGTGTGTGTTTCTGTGTACATATCACCCTCCGCTTATCATGTAACATACCATTCGTGGGACATGGGCCTACCTTCAATCAAGTATGACCTCATCTTAACTTTATTACATCTTCAATGACCTCATATCCAAATAAAGCCACGTTCACGGGTACTGGAGTTTAGAATGCAATATCATTTTGGGGGAGTGTTGGTGTCAGCAGTTCAACCCATCCAGCAACCACAACTGCTTTTCCACATAGCCTGATTGTTCCGGCTGTTGTTTTCCTGGCAGTAGGGTGGCTGGTTGGTAGCCGATTATATTTCTTACACTGTTCATTGCACACAGACATTCCCAAATGCTTTGAGGGAGATGACAGAAAGATGTAAGAGAACTTCTGGCTTGAAAACCACAGCAACGTTACTTGTCTCTGGTGCCCCATCTCTTTGAGGCTGTACCTATCTTAGGAGATCACACCGTGTGCCTGGACAGACGGAAGAGGCACCTTTCTTCACTTGTCCTGTGCCTTTGGTGATGAAAAGAAAGGTGGGTGAGAGGTTTGGATGGATGCAAACCTCTCTGAACTGTTCTCGTAGTTTCATTGTAATGTAGCAGAGAGCAATTTATTGGACTTAGAACTAGGCAACAAATTACCTGGAAACTTTTGAGCTTTCATTTTAGGCAAGTGTGAACTTCCAAGAATCGTAACTGCTCTAGTGGTGATTTAGAAAAGATAATTTCCAGGAACAGCCAATCCTAGAATAATATCAGCAGAGGACGGTAAAGTAATTATGAGAAAGAGGCAAAAATCATTAGTAGAACAACATCCTCAGAATAGATTAAGATTTTGTGAAGAAAGAAAACCCAAACCTCAAAACACGGATGGTGGTTTTGCTAGTTAAAACTCTTCCATGGCAAAGAAATACAAAGCGAAAATAAATAAAAATCAATTCAGTAAAGCCAGCAGGATAACTCATATACTCAAACCTGATAACAACAACACACTGCACATATAGACACCAATAACAACAACAATAATAGATAGTATTCATTGAGCGTTTACTCTGTGCCACGTACTGTCTGAAGCACTTTACTTGTGTTTACGTATTTCATTATTACGTCAGTCATTGGGGATATATGTTCAACAACGTTTTCGATTTCAAATACGAGGGAAATAAAGCACGGAGATGGTAAACATGGTCAAAGTATATTCAAGGTTGGAGCCTTGAAGAAATAGGAACATGATTCAAGCCCAGGAAGTCTGGCTTCAGAGTCCAGGTTCTCACGCCATCCTGCCTCTCACAGGTGCAGACCGGCGCATTAAGGAAAGCACATATAAGAACCATAAGTCAAACTGTAGCAAATAAATCTTGCATCATATTAAAAGATTATTGCACTAGCCTCAGTGGCCTTCCCCTCTGCCATTGCTAATAGCATTCCAGATCAAAAGATATAAAAATATATGACTGTATTGATTGATATGCAATATTAGTTAGGGTATAGACTAAGCTGTTGTAAAAAAAACAATAAAATACAATGACTTAAATATATGTCTATGAATACATGTACACGTGCATATGTGTATGTATTATAAATGTACTTATGTATTTATATATTTATACAAATTATACATAAATATATGTATCTATGTATCTCCCTTACATAACAGTCTTGAGGAAGAAAATAGTGGTCTTGGCTAGCAAATTGCTCTGCTTCTTGAGCTAATCCAGGCTTTCAGTCAGATAGGTGGGTGGACTTCTGAACTCAACAATTAGCTTCCATATTGTGGTCTAAGGTGGCCATTCCAGCTGTTGCTGTTTTCCAACATTCCAGAAAGACGAAAGTTTATAGAAAGCCCAGAGAAAGTCTACAGAAATGAATTACCGTTAAGGAAGTAAGCCAAATGTTGTTCACATCACTTTTGTTCACATTCCATTGGCCTGAAATTAGCTGCATGGCCTAATGTCAACAAACACTGGGAAATAGACTGTTTTGAAGTAGTTGTGTATCCAGCTAAAACTTGGGGGACTCCATTACTAAAAGTTTAAAGTAGATAATGAATATGAAAATTTCCAGAATCTACCAAAATCCCTGAAGATACTTAATAAAGACATTAAAAATTGACTGTACAATCTGATCAAAAAACTTAATAAGCAAAAAGAGGAGGATATACTTGCATAACTGAATATAGAACACCTAAAGCCAGGTGCAGTGGCTCATGGCTCTAATCCTAGCACTTTGGGAGGTGGAGGCAGGAAGAAAGCTTAAGGCCAGGAGTTTGAGACCTGCCTGAACAACATAGTGAGACCCAGTCTCTAAAATCAACTTTAAAAATTAGACGGGCATGGTGGCATGCAGTTGTAGTCCCAGCTACTCAGGAGGCTGAGGCAGGAGGATCACTTGAGCCCAGGAGTTTGAGGTTGCTGTGAGCTAGGATGATGCTACTGCAATTTAGTCAGGGCAACAGAGCTAGACTATGTCTCAAAAAACAAACAAACAAACAAACAAAGAAAAAACAACCAAAACCACACACACACAAAAACCCTAAAATGTCAGACCTTGTATTAAATGGTAAAACATTAGAATTTGAAAAAATTTTCATAGTATCATAGATTGAACTAATTTATCAATTGTTTTTCAGTTTCTGTTTCTACAGCAAACATGTTTAGTTTTGTAATATGGAAAGCAATTTTTAGAAAACTACTCTATGTAAAAGAAAAAATAAAATAATGCATAATTTGTTCATTTTATATGAAAAAAATGAACAAATTATGTAGTTGGGAATCTATTGAATCCACTAATAACTGGTCTGTCCATTGAACTTCTCCATGAAGCTAGTTTAAAATAGCAGAAGAGAATTCATACTTGCAGAAATAACCTCTGTTATGTGTCTACAGAACTACGACTCCTCACCTTTCCAGAAATTTCTATATCCCTCTTTGCTTGTTGCACAAAATCTTGAATTGAAGTCAGCTACTCCCAGACATTACCTAAACGGTCCCCCTGCCCCGACCACATGCCTGTGTGCTGAGTCCACAGGTTCCTATGGAATGAGAATCACTCCAGGCCCTGCAGTCTCGCCTTGGGTGTCCCTCAGCAGCGAAGCCATTGACATCACTGGAATTTAAGTGCTTATAATTAAACTGCATATCTAGCACCTCATTAAAAGAAAAAAAAAGTAGGGAGCGCCTGTTGTCCTTTGGTGCTATCCTGAAAGGATCTGCTTCAATCAGGAGGCAAGAACAGGTTTATCAGCACGGCCAGAAGGGGCAGCAACTTTGCTTTTATTAATAAAAGTGTAAATTAGATTCAACAGAGCCAGTTGGGCCAGATGATAAGCCCTGAGGACTATGTCTGGAATGCTGAACCGGAGGTGTTCTGCTGGCTTCCCTCTGGCTCTGGGCGACACACGTCACAGTCTGCAGTCTGTAGGGCTTTCCTGAGGCTGAAAAGGCGAGGAGACAGACACCGCAGGGCTGCCACTGCCTTCTGTTTCTCTTCACGACACCTCTCTTTCCCCAGACTGCAGAGCTCTCTCTGCCCCGCTCGTTTCTTCCAAGAGTGAGGCTGGTGAAATCATTCACTTTGAAGCATTGTAGACTAAATATGTTCCCACTTGTAGGCCCGTGCACATTTTTGACAGATATAGGGAAAGGTTACATGTTTTACTTTAAGGAAGGGTTGCTAATATTGGGATTTCTTGATTCAGTAGGGTTTGTTATCAGAGAAGTATTGGGGCAGGCCATTCAGAGAACCCACAGAGAGAGTATGACCCCAAGGCTGCTGGTTTTAACATATTTTTTGTCACTACGGGATCCTTTGCAAGATGGACGTGGTGAAGCAGTATCTGGGAGTGCTGTCATGTGCTGAGGGACACTGGCTGTCAGGCTCATCTGTGAGCCTCCTTTGGCCTCAGTTTCCTCAGCTCTCGAATAGAATAGAGATAATATTTACTACTTCTTAACATGAGGATAAGACAAGATCATGTATGTGAAAACCCTTAGGAAAATCTTAATGCATATACAGAGACATATAAAAGTATGGCTGTTGCATTTCTGCTTTTCTGGAAAGTAGAGGCACTTTCCTTCTTCTCTATCTGTAACCACAGGAGGTGAGCACTGTTTGAGTCCCTGGTTGACAAATGGGGAAAAATGAAGCACAGAGAAGTTAAGTCATTAACTGCCCAAAGTCTCATAATTCATAAGTGGCCAGGCCAGGATTTAGGTGTGCGTGGCTCTGTTCACGGTGGCACTTGAAATGCAGTGGCTTGGTCAGGCCAAAAAGTCAGTAAGTATTTCCCTATTAAAGGAATAAGCAAATGAACAGGACACGGTGCACAGCTGTTTGTGCCCCTCCATACACGCTCTGGAGCGAAGTGGGCTTGGAGAGAGAAAGAGAAATGGGGCTTGGAGGGTTGCTGAAGAGCCAAGAATTTCTGGGTGAAGAGTTTACAGCTTCAGTTGAAGGGGGGTAGTCAGTGGTTTTAATTTTGCTGTTTTAACTTGATACCCCATAAGGTATATCCCTGATTGTCTGATATCAGACAGTGTAAATTTTCCATCTCTCTTTTAGTATTGCAGGGCGAAAGGCACCTGAAGCCAGCAGTGTGGAATGTCTTCTCCCTTGGGATAAAGGATGCTCTATCAGCTTTTTTCTCGGCCATGAGAGTGTAACACAGAAAATCTTTCCGATACTTATAAACACATAAAGCGGACAATCTTCAAATGCTGATTAAAACACCTTGGGCTTTCCTTCTCTTCCTCAGTAACTGTATTTACATCAGAGGAAGAAAAACGATTCAGTAGCATTTTATAAAAGCCATTGAACAATAACAGATAAAATCTGAGTAGTATAAAGTTAGATTCACGAATGTTCTTCTTAGTGATGCTTGTCTCTTAGAAATTTGTAGGCATTTATTTTAAGAAGTAAATTTTCTATACAAAATGTAGTTAGAAAAACGGTCTCATTTTAACTCATTAAAAGAATGTTTTACAAAGAATACATGTACGCCCCGGGGCTGGGGGCAGGGTGGGCGTTCTGAATCTGCACAGTGCATGTGCCTGGGAAAACGAGACACGGTAATAAAAGTGAGTGGTTGACTTGTCAGATAAAATTTATTGTATGAAGGTATGTAACTCAAAACCTTCCTACCCCAAATTCCTGGTGGATTGCCAAAAGTGCGCTTGAAGCATGGCATTAGGAAATCAAAAATATGTAGTTCAATAGGAGCCAATAGGCATTTATGGGCATCTCCTCTTCAAAGGAAGGTATTTTTCTGAAATGTAAAGGATTCTTTCAAGGGGATCATGCAGACATCTGCAATAATTCCTTTACATGGCATCATTATTAAGTTTCTTGAATTCCAGAACCGATTCAGGGTGACTGAAAAATTGATGAAAAATTCCAAGGACTGCAAAAGAACATAGAGCACAAATCCCAGGGCTCTTTAGCCACCACGACTGGACTCGGTACCCTTTGCACCCATCTGCCTTCTCTCCCGGGACCCACAGGCGGCAGGGTGCGGCCGGCCTGGGCAGCCAGGTCTCGGGAGCTGGAAGAGAGCCCAGCGGCTGCAGGACAGGGGGAACGAGGGTTATTTATGGAGGAGGCCAGCTCGGGCAACGTCTGCTGTGGCGCTTCCTCCCATCTAATCAGGGATGGCTCGAAATAATTAAATCAACCACTCACCATGCAGTGGATGACCCACCGGAGTCTCCTCACGTGTGAGTGAGGCTGAGATTAATGGCACCATTATCAGGAGCTCACACGACACTTTTAAAATGTCTCATCAGCCATTTTCATAGGCACGAGCTGTCGCTTTTGTAATGGAAACAAAACTGTCACACGTCACAAGACGGGTTTCTCTATGGAAATAGCAGCGCGTCTTCCGGAGGGTTCACTTCTAATCTAGGCGGTCATTGTTGTGAAGGGGCATCGAACAGAACTGCCTTTGCCTAGGAGCCAAGAGGGATCAGAAAATGCGCCTATGTATAGGCGAGGGTGGGCTCATGCCTTTTATATATTAATAATTTGGCAGAGCGTAGATGGATAGACAGATGAAATGCAGAATGAGAAATCATTCATTCTACCCCCACCTCTGCTTTAGAGGTGGTTTGGTGTAGACAGGTCAGTAAGCCTAAGGCTTAATTTTTTCATTGGTAAAAGCCGTTAAGTCTGTATTCTAAGAAATTGGGGAACCATATGATTGAGGCACTCACGAAAGAGTGTTTCTAAATGATGTCGAAGTTATTGCATTTAGATATATAAATACCCCAAGTGTTATGATTATATGCATGTGTGTATATGCATATATGTGTGTGTATATGTGCACATAGGCACGCACACGCGCATATGTAGTTCAGTGTTGGCGGAGGGTTTTGGAGTCTGAGGGAGACAAAGCGGCTTATGGACAAAGTGGAGCTGGCCTGCAGCAACTCCCTCGGGTCACACACGTGTGATCCTGTGCTCATTATTACCTAGGGTTTGTGTTGGAATACACAGTGGCCAAAACCATTAGAAAAACAAAAAAGTGGGCTGTGGTTCTAGATATTTTTATGTGCTAGATTAGACTAATAGTAAGAGAAGCAGAGCACACTTACCGCTCTGGTTTTGGGCTGGAAAGGAAATTTCCTTGTAGGGCCTCCCGTGGCCCCTGCACGTGCATGGGCTGGACGCTGGGACGCTGGCTGGGGGCTGAGAGCTAGGAGTCCCCTCATCAGGGCACACGTGTCTGCTAGTGAGACCATGACAGCTGATGCCAGTTTTTAATTGGGCAAAGGTGTGGTGCACAGAGGATGTTTGAAATTCATTTTTGCGTCTGTTTATTACGGGCAATGCCCTGCGGCCACTGCCGGATTTGGGATTTCCATGTCTGTGCAGCACATGGCCCTGTGTCCCTTGGGATGAGCTCTGCTGGAAATTACACTCTCCTCTCTGTTTGTCTTCTCTGTCCTTCCCTTCCTTCTGGTAAGTCCATCAAGTATGGTACAACACCTAGCACTGAGTGGAAAAAAGAAAAAAGCATGGTCTAAGTTGTCCCCCATTCTCCTGCCCTCTCCTCCCGAATGTTTTTCATTGTTCACCCTCCCACCTCAATCTGTGGGAGGGTGAACAATTCCACAACAATCTGTGCACATTTCCACTTCTGTGCTCTTTATTTGTATGTGTGACTACTCTGACTTGCACGCTGGACTGCCAGCTCCCAGAGTACCAATGTCTCTCCCAGCCTTGCTATTTCCAGCAGAATCTTCGTTCTCTCTGCCATAGGGAACGCAACAAATGCCTGCTAAATTAACCGAAGAAATGAAAGTGCAACTACACGAACAATGTAAGAGGCGGTTGGTTGTCCATTGCCAGGAAAGTTCCTTATGTGGACGGGATGTCTAATATAATACAGATCTCTCAGTGGGAATTATAATCGTGCTGGTCCTTCACTGGGATTTTTAGAGACAAGGGACAGTGAGGTAAGGGACAGTTGGGTGAGCTGGAGGAGGGCCGAGTTAAAGAGCATTCTCCCTTCCTTCCCCAGGACACCCTTCCTCCCATTCTTTGTAGGGTTCTGTTTTCTGTCCTATGTCCATTATTTTTAGCACCCACAAGGCTTTGTTCATGTCTTCTCCACCCCATCGCCAGTCTCTCAGCCCGAATCCAAAGCTGATGTCCTCACAAGGACAGGGAGCCAGCCACCTGGGCGCAACTGCAGGCCCACACCTGAGACGGCCACGCCACCAGGTAGCACCGTTCACCATCTGCCCCTGCCCTGCCTGTCGCCCACACTGCCTGTGCGCGCACCAGCCCGTGCCAGCACCCTCGCCCTTCTTGCACGCTGCCCCGCCCGTAGGGAAATGGCAGACAGTTGAGAAGCTGTGCCCCTGACCACACAGATGCCACTGCGGTCTTGCCCGCAGCAAGGTTCCTCACACCCACGTGTAAAAGGACTGCTTAAAACTGCCACTGGCTGGAGGCGCACAATATGCGAGACACGCCTTGGTGCCTTAAACGCATTATCCCGTATAATCTACACAGGCATCCTTTCAAAAGTGAGAAAATGGAAACTTAAGGAAGCTGTGTGAACCTTCCCAGGGACAGATCTGTAAATGAGAAGTACAAACCCAGCTCTGTCAGGCCCCCCAAGCTTGAGATTTTTGCAATGGGCAAAATCCTTTTTCCCTTCCAGGTATTTCTTCCTACTGGAAATAAAATATTTGGCCCATTACCAAAAATTCTATTTAGTAATGTATATTTATTTGACTTACATGTAATCAATAAAAACTTAATATTGATACTAATATTGAACAGCTTTCATTGTTAAATTTAAAAAGGTTTTTAAAAATGTTTTACAAATTTAAGTGTATCTATTTATGTCTTATTGCCCAACTAGATTTAGTAAATAATTCACTTTGACTTTTTTCCCCAAATTCTCATAACCTAAAATATTTTGATCTTTTATTGGTGTAGAAGTTCATAATTTCAAAAGAGCAATGTCAAAATTGGGAAGCTAAAAAGTTTGGGGTGAGGGATAAATTGATTATGCCAGAAAATATGGCCAATACTCATTTTTCTATTGAAACAGGTTGAATTTTCTGTTTCTTTGCATAAATACTGACCAAAATAATTACTGCTGCTTGAATATAACAGCAATAATTCCTTTCCTTGTAATTTTACTATCTACTAATAGCAAACAGGCTTTGAGCAGTGCCTATCTTCCAAACACTTTTCTGTTACAGATTTTGTATTTGTCTCAGTTTGGGTTGTAGAATCAGATCTCTGGTCAAATCCAGGATCACCTGTTTGCTCGGTACAAGACCTTGGACTAGTCACATCATTTCTCTGTGCTGCAGTGTTTTCGTTGATCTCATAGGGCTGTTGTTTGGATCAATGGAAGCATTTAGAACAGTGTTTGATGCATTACACTAGCTCAATATACATTAGTATGTGTATTATTTGAATCACAAAAGCTGGATATTATTTGGTAATCGATGATTTATGTGTTCATCTTAGTTAGGAATTTTGGCCATTTGGATGTATAAAATTTAAAATATGCTGCTGGAATCCAAAATCAGTTTTATTTACTAATAATTAGTAATAAAGGCACAATGTGTTCCTTATCCAAGTAGCTTATTTGCTTAAAATGTAAAGAGTGGTTTGTTTATTTTTCTTCTTTGCCGTGTATGTGTGTGTGTGTATGTATATACAAAAATTACGAAATGATTTAGTCTCATGTGAAATGTGAGTGTGCTGCGGAAACTGAGTTCTAACATAGGAATGTGTTTAATGCCCTGAAATCACGAATTGGCCAGATTTGTTCCTTGTGACCAGGAGGGAGCTCTCCACCTCTCCCCACCCCAGATCGCAGAGTGGAGAGCAGCCCTTTGTCCCAGGCCAGCGTGTGCTGGGCTGCTGGTGACTTACCGAGGCCACCCACGTCCAGAAAAGCACGCTGGGAGTGAGTGTAACTTAAGAACCTGGAATAAGCCAAGCAGCATTAAAAACACTTAGCTTAAGGGACTTACTGAATGATTCCATCCTATGGTTTATTCCCAGGACTTCCCTGAATCTCTGTATCTAAGAAATTGGGGAACCATATGATTGAGGCACTCACACGAAGAGTGTTTTCCAAATGATGTCGAAGTTATGCATTAGAATATAACTACCCCAAGTGTTATGATATATGCATGTGTGGTACTATGCATAATATGCTTGCATGTATGCTTGTATATGTGCACATAGGCACGCACACGCGCATATGTAGTTCCAGTCTGTTGGCGGGAGGGTTTTGGAGTCTAGGGAGACAAAGCGGCTTAGTGGACAAAGTGAGCTGCCTGCACACTCTCGGGGTCCACAGTGTGATCTGTGCTCATTATTACCCTACGGGTTTGGTTGGAATACACAGTGGCCAAAACCATTAGAAAAACAAAAAAGTGGCTGTGGTTTAGATATTTTATGTGCCTAGATTAGACTAATATAAAGAGAAGCCAGAAGCACACTTCTACGTCTAGGTTTTGGCTGGAAAGGAAATTTCCTTGTAAGGGCCATACCCGTGGCCGCTGCACGTGCAGGCTGACCGCATGGGACGCCGCTGGGGCTGAGAGCTACGGAGTTCGCCTCAATCCAGGGCACGACATGTCTTGCCTAGTGAACTATGACTAGCTGATCCAAGTTTTTAATTGGGCCAAGAGGTGTGGTGCAAGAGGATGTTTGAATTCATTTTTTGCATGCTGTTTATTACGGGCAAATGCCTGCGGGCACTGCCGGATTTGGGATTTCATGTCTGTGGCAAGCAATGGCCTGTGTTCCCCTTGGAATGAGCTCTGCTAGGACAATACACTCTCCTCTCATGTGCTTCTCTGTCCTTCCTGCTTCCTCCTGGTAAAGTCGCAATCAAGTATGGTACAACAACCTACACTGAGTGGAAAAAAGAAAAAAGCCATGGTCTAAGTTGTCGCCCATTCTCCTGCCTCTCCCGATTTCTTGATTCAGTAGGGTTTGTTATCAGAGAAGTATTGGGGCAGGCCATTCAGAGAACCCACAGAGAGAGTATGACCCCAAGGCTGCTGGTTTTAACATATTTTTTGTCACTACGGGATCCTTTGCAAGATGGACGTGGTGAAGCAGTATCTGGGAGTGCTGTCATGTGCTGAGGGACACTGGCTGTCAGGCTCATCTGTGAGCCTCCTTTGGCCTCAGTTTCCTCAGCTCTCGAATAGAATAGATATAATATTTACTACTTCTTAACATGAGGACAAGACAAGATCATGTATGTGTAAACCCTTAGGAAAATCTTAACGCATATACAGAGACATATAAAAGTATAGCTGTTGCATTTCTGCTTTTCTGGAAAGTAGAGGCACTTTCCTTCTTCTCTATCTGTAACCACAGGAGGTGAGCACTGTTTGAGTCCCTGGTTGACAAATGGAGGAAAATGAGGCACAGAGAAGTTAAGTCATTAACTGCCCAAAGTCTCATAATTCATAAGTGGCCAGGCCAGGATTTAGGTGTGCGTGGCTCTGTTCACGGTGGCACTTGAAACGCAGTGGCTTGGTCAGGCCAAAAAGTCAGTATTTCCCTATTAAAGGAATAAGCAAATGAACAGGACACGGTGCACAGCTGTTTGTGCCCCTCCATACACGCTCTGGAGCGAAGTGGGCTTGGAGAGAGAAAGAGAAATGGGGCTTGGAGGGTTGCTGAAGAGCCAAGAATTTCTGGGTGAAGAGTTTACAGCTTCAGTTGAAGGGGGGTAGTCAGTGGTTTTAATTTTGCTGTTTTAACTTGATACCCCATAAGGTATATCCCTGATTGTCTGATATCAGACAGTGTAAATTTTCCATCTCTCTTTTAGTATTGCAGGGCGAAAGGCACCTGAAGCCAGCAGTGTGGAATGTCTTCTCCCTTGGGATAAAGGATGCTCTATCAGCTTTTTTCTCGACCATGAGAGTGTAACACAGAAAATCTTTCCGATACTTATAAACACATAAAGCGGACAATCTTCAAATGCTGATTAAAACACCTTGGGCTTTCCTTCTCTTCCTCAGTAACTGTATTTACATCAGAGGAAGAAAAACGATTCAGTAGCATTTTATAAAAGCCATTGAACAATAACAGATAAAATCTGAGTAGTATAAAGTTAGATTCACGAATGTTCTTCTTAGTGATGCTTGTCTCTTAGAAATTTGTAGGCATTTATTTTAAGAAGTAAATTTTCTATACAAAATGTAGTTAGAAAAAACGGTCTCATTTTAACTCATTAAAAGAATGTTTTACAAAGAATATATGTACGCCCCGGGGCTGGGGGCAGGGTGGGCGTTCTGAATCTGCACAGTGCATGTGCCTGGGAAAACGAGACACGGTAATAAAAGTGAGTGGTTGACTTGTCAGATAAAATTTATTGTATGAAGGTATGTAACTCAAAACCTTCCTACCCCAAATTCCTGGTGGATTGCCAAAAGTGCGCTTGAAGCATGGCATTAGGAAATCAAAAATATGTAGTTCAATAGGAGCCAATAGGCATTTATGGGCATCTCCTCTTCAAAGGAAGGTATTTTTCTGAAATGTAAAGGATTCTTTCAAGGGGATCATGCAGACATCTGCAATAATTCCTTTACATGGCATCATTATTAAGTTTCTTGAATTCCAGAACCGATTCAGGGTGACTGAAAAATTGATGAAAAATTCCAAGGACTGCAAAAGAACATAGAGCACAAATCCCAGGGCTCTTTAGCCACCACGACTGGACTCGGTACCCTTTGCACCCATC